ACGTTATTCTGTGTTATATTATACATAATAAAAATAATAATATTATTATTATTATATTATGCTAGACTGCTATATAATAGTATTATAGACGCTAGAGACAGCTGCCGTGTAATGAATACAAAAAACGTGTAGCATGTGATATTATTGTAAATGAAATAATAATAATAATAATACATAATACATAAATAAATAAAACTTGAGTGGAAGAAACAAAAGAATTAGCCTGCTCTGTGTGTCCGTCCGTGAATTCACGATTTTTTTTTTATCGGACAACAAAAATAGCGACGATAAAAATACAACTTTTTGACCGTACGTCAAAACACTAGTTACGCACACACACACACGCATATATATAAATATATATATATATATTTTTATTATATATACTCACACACTCACGTATATAATATATTTATATATTATATGTGCACGCGCCGTACGAGCTATATATTATGAAAAAAAGTACACGCATTAATATGTGACGTAAAAAAATAAAATTGAAAAAAAACATTTAAACTTGAACGTTGGAAAATTAGGAGGTAAAATATTGTACATTTATTTATGGACGAATTGGATGAAACTATATATTTGTTTATACGGATTAATGTATACACCCGAACCAAACGCAAAAAATATAAAATAAAACAATTTAATAGTTATACTATAGAATGTTTGGCCATACAGTATACACCATATATTGTATTATTGTTTTACTATAACTATACTATAGATGCATACATGCAAGGGAACTAAAACGCTCGGGGGCCAGGGGATCTTTTCGTCTTACATGTTGAACCACAAACGAATAATAAATGCACATCTTAATAATGTATTTATATTAAACGATCGTTACGAACAAAACAATCGACACAACCGGTTTCAATCAACTGTCAAGTCCATATCACATGGTCAGTAATTTATGTCTGTTATACATTATACATATATATTATATATTACACCTATGTTTTTTTAAATATCGCAATTGCGTTCTTTTTAATTTCCTACAAATCCACGTGCGTAATCATAGAGTGGTATAAGTAAATATAAATTGAAAAAAATAAGCGTACATTTTTACCTAAATAAATTTTTTTCTGGAATATTCAATGTAATTTCAATTTGTCGACAATAACGCAACTTATTCGTGAATAATATATATTTGAAATTTTGATTGTTTTTCGATAACCATCTTCTTTTGTATATACATGAAAGCACTTGACGTGACGTTCCAACTATAACAAATACGTTTCATATATATACATACACACGCGTTATCTTCCTTAGCTATCGAAATATATAATATGTGAACATAATAATACATTTTTATGCGTAAAAGATCTATTGTATACTTGAAATGTTGGAGGTAAACTGTTATTTCTGTGACCTAAAACGATTCCACAATAATCATAATATATATCGTTAAAACCAAATTACTTGAAAATTTAAGTTTAAGATGTTTCAAGTCGATTCAGTATACTTATAGGTATAAACACTTAAACAAGATTGTATTTTTTGAAAGCAAAAGTCATAATCGATTGCTTAAACTAGATCATTGAATTTTATTATTCTTGTTTATAGGTATAACAACATTATTATATTTATAATTCCTCATTTTATAAACAAAAATGACGGTCTATTTTATAAGCACTGCACAAACGTTATTCGTTAGATGATCTCTGATCAGAAATTGAATAAATTTAAAACAAAAAAATTTCAAACGGATCCCATGTAATGTGTCAACCTTAACATAAGTCACACTTATGTAATATCTCCGTTCAATGAACGCCGTTCATATATTATAAGCTGCATGTAATAATTTAATATAGCTTACTCAACCCACATCAAACCGAATTTAATCAAATTCAAGTGTATTCACAAGGCCAAGGCGACAATAGTATTATATTTTGTGATTGTTCGACCTCATGCTAGGACAACATATGGTGGCCGGTAGGTAAAGTTAAAAAAAAATTTCGAAATTTTGCGGATAACGTCAGCTGTGGCACACCACTCGTTTGCCTCGCTCGTCATATTTTTAAATTTTATGTTTCATATTTTTTCGCATAATAATATTATATCAATATATATTTTTTGTCTTTGCGACAGAATGATGCGGTTTCACTTTCCGCGTTATGACTGTAGTCGCGGTACGTGAGATGAAATTWAAACAGCGATTTAGTCCGAAGACTGGTTAATAACACGTGACACACCTATTGCACGCACACAAAAAACGAGTAAGCGAACCGCAGACTCGCTCGCTCGCAACTATTGTTCATTTATTTGAAAAAAAGTAGTGTAGATTCGTGAGAATAAGAACGACGAAAAAACAAAAACAAAAAACACTCAATAAAAGTAAAAACTGTGGAACACAAATGTAGGTATATAAAATTCATAGCACTGGGTTATACACGTTATAGTCTGTTAACTTACGCCACGCGTTTGTTCTAGTGCGTACGCGCGCGTCAAACGAAAGGGAAAAGCCAACGTCTGGAAGTTCGTGATTTGCATCAAACGCCACGCAAGTCAAAAGGAATTAATGAAAGTTTTTCTTTATATTTCGTGCCTACAGCGGTCAGTAGGTATTTAAACGAAAAATCTCGTAAACAAATAATCTCATTTCGGAATTTCGTCGGGGGTATATAAAAAATAATAATAATAAGACTTTATATTTTGTAGTACAAACTACAAAATAAATATACAAGGTGTAACAGATAGAACTCACTTTTGKACTCACTTTTTTTCACATTAATATTTTTTTTTGTTCATTAAGTGAACTTAGCACTAAATGTATAATTCATTTTTTATGTTTCATATTTTAGCATTGAAAATAAAAAAAAAATTATTTAATAAAAAAAATGTTGGATAAATTCAAAATAGCCTATTTGTGAATCTGATTATAAAAACAATTTTGATGGTAAAAAAATGTAAGTCAAGTAGTTTATTTATTAGAATTTTTTTTGGTAAAATTTATTTGGAACGCAATAACTTTAAAAAAAATATGATTTTTGAGAATTTGCTGACATGAGTGTATTTTTCAAATTATTTTTCAAATTATTTATCTATCATATAATATTAAAATTGTCATACAATGAATTGGTATATTTTTATTTTTCTTGGTCAGGTYTTTCTGTTACACCTGTATATAACAATGAATTGATAACTGATATACCGTATAGGTACTTGATGTTTATACATAATTATTAGTTAATAACAACTTTAAATGATATCCCACATTAAAATTATATTCACAGTGGTGTATAATTATGTATGTATACACTGCTGCTAATCGTGATTCGCGAACTTTGGGGCGTCCAAATATAGTCCCTAGCGCGCAATATCGTACGACCAAAGGTTCAAAAAAAGATTTTACGGGCATTCGAGTCGTATTACAATAGATATTCACCCAAGGCCTTTTGTACACGTTTATAATATTATTTTATATTCAACTTACATATTGTTTACTGTACATATAGAAAACATCGAGATGGTAAGATACCTGAGCATCATATTCTGTATGAGTACATTTKTTATTTTGTTAATTTATAATATTATAATACTTTCGTCGAGAATTAAAATAGATATTATGCACACAGTCACGTTGTATCGTCGACTATATGGTGTTTTTTTTTTATCATCGTCGTCACAGAGTTACTACCATAGGTATTATTAGGCACCGTACCGGCCATTCATTTTTAACAACTTTTGTATACGATTTTTGTTGGTATATACATTAATACTTAATATAATAAATAGTTAAAKTTAATATGATGTGATAGTGATAGTGATAATATTAAAACGCGGCGCAAACATATAGGTACCTACCTACGAATACAACGAAYGTACAACTGTACTAGTCGTCGTCAATAATTATGCACTTAAAACACGGTGTTGGCGACACCGCCACAYCGGTACGGGGTAATGGGCTTGGTGAATTTACAAAAGCTGTCGCGTTCGCACGCATGTGTGGACAGTGTATTAATTGTGCCCTAATGATTTATTTCGAGAGCTTATCCAATCGTAAAACATATTATTGTAATATAGCGGAACTTTGTTCTTGTGTTATAACGTTGTAATTATCATTATTATTATAATAATATGGTTTCTCGATAATTAATGAAACGAGTTGACCGAATAGGATTACGATCGTTCATACTATATCATAATGCTKACACGATTTAGAACTATAGTTTTATAAAGGACTTTGAGTTCACGACGAACCGACCGAATAGTATAAGTACTTAAAATTACATAATATACGTCATTTAAATGAATATAATAYATACATTATACACCGTATAAAATATTAAAAATAAATTATTCAAAAACGGACCTAAACGTGGTGAATAGTTTAAACGTCTAATATTACTGGTAATTTAAAAAAAAATAATATGTATGGCACAATTTGTGCCGGGGCGACCGTGGAGGTTATTGACCCAGTCCCCGCCGCCGCGGATTCTGTCCGTTTACCTTCGGCGGCAGGACCCGTGGAAAAGGGCGGAAAATGCCTATGATAACTTTTAGAGTTTTAACGAAGCTGATTAATATTTCATATATAGGTAGTTTACGGAGGTGTATGTTCATTGGCACAAGTATTTATAAATTTCGTACGATATTAATAGATGTTGCGTATCATGGATCATAGATAATTAATCAATGGCTATATATGTATTATACAATAGTAAGTTCACATTGTCGTATGTTTTATGGACTTTTATAATATTTGTACCTGTGATGTATTATGAATACGATAAATTCYGAATCGCAAAACTGTTTGTTAATTATACGTTTTTTTATAAATCCATTTTATTATTATTTTTATTATCATCGTCACGTACGAGATAACAGCTGATTTGCAGATGTGGGTGGGGTTTTCTTCGGCCAAAAATAATAAGTATCGAAAAACACGAATCCTATAGCCGTGCAGCAACACCAAATAATATGACAAGTGAGTAGTCTTCGAAAATAGAATGCGATAATATGCGTATACATATAAGTATGAGACTGACCTGAGCGTTTTGTTTCCATTTCTGGACCGTTTGTCGTCTTTGGGCAATCGCAGGTAGTCTTGATCGCCCAACAGGAACAGGTCCTTGGATATGATCATTGTCGAAGCGGTCGTGGAGGCAGTGGTATCGCTAATCGTGGCGGCCGATGTTGGCAGTAAGAAAAAAATTAATACGATTCAACGGATCGAAAAAAACGTGCTGGACGTTCCTAAGTGGAGCCCTCTCATTGGAATGGGGAAAAAAAAAATCGTTAGGTAAACTGGATATTATATTCACGGCGGCGGTGACGGTGGTTTTTACGTGTTTTTCCGCGAGTGTAATTCGGACAGATTAAAAAAAAAAAATGTTCGTATGCCGGAGTCGTGTGATTTGSGTCGGCTTTTTTTCGCGTAAGTATAATAATAATTTAATTTTAATTYGCGTGATTTCCGTTCGGATCGACGGTGACGGTTTCTGTGCAATCACGACCGATGGTGCGATTTTGGTTTTGCAATAATACGCGTAGATATTATTGGGACGACCGTACGCGGAAATACGAACGTGTGTAGCTTTCGGGCAGACCGCTGCGGTGGCGGCACTCCTAACACACTGACAATGTGAAACACTGAACCAGATAGAGACGACTGCGTTGGTTACCCGGTTCAGTCTCTAACGAAACCGCTCGCACGCAGCACACTCACCCGGGCGGCGGCAGTGGCGGCGGTTCCGGCGGCGGCCACCGGCCAAAGCGATACCTGGCGGATAATCGGCAAAGCACGCGCACGTGCGATCGTCGTCGTCGTCGTCGCCACCTCCTCCTYATCGGTGCGCGAACTTAAAACTCAAATCCACTCCATAACACTATGCAAGAGATAGATATAATAATGGATACGTCATCATATGATTATAGGTAATGCGGAATTTCATCCGTGGGCGCAAATCGAAGGGATGCTAAAATTATAAGCAGTTTTTTAGTTGTGTGCAGTGGTGATCAAAGCCGGCCCATCGATGTTAAAAATGTTACCCCCTCTGAAATTTGTAATGGATTTYCACACACGAGTATCTCGCGGTTGCCTGGTTCGAGAAATTGGGCACTTCGAGATWGACAGAATAGTCATACTGCACCAGAAAATKATGTAGGTATACGTCATTTTTTACAATAAGCATTCCATTTTTAACGGAGAGCTGCAGTTTTACTCCGTGATCACCAGATAGGTAGAGAAGTACTCCTTATAGCCGTATAGGGCATAGACTACTAGAAATTAAAGCACAAACTCATCGAAAACGTTTGTTATTTTTAAATAAAAACAGARTTGTAGATTCAATTTTAAATAATATGATTATGAATAAGAATGTAAATCTATGTACCCATAATGTATAAATCTCAGATTCTGATATTTTTAACCACCGATGAGATACTTGAACCTATATTTAAAGATTCAAACTAAACATTTCTAAATGAAAATTTTTAACGTCCATGTATATTTAAATTACATATAATATGTTGGTGGCTCTCGACTGTTGTAGGAAAGTCAAGAGTTCTCGTTGGTACGCTAAGAAAATCTTGGATTGAGGAAAAAAAAATTTGAAGCAGATAATGCATATTATGTAACATTCAATATTATTTAGGTACATAGTAATGAATAAATACGCGTAGATACGATGGCAACTTAAAATATTTGAGATTGATGTTAMGATATTACCAATATGAAGTCTGGAGCCTGATATATGGCCGTCTTATTATTAATTTCAAACAACACCCAAAAATTAAAGTATTTAAACCAGTGGCGTATTCAGGATTTGGGAGAGGGAGGCTAAATTAAGTTAATCAAGATTTGGTATCCGTTATCTTATACTATGTCGTTATTACTATATTCCGTAATCGTATAATAACCTCTACAAATAATATTGATAATACACAAAATGTTTTTTCTAATCCGTTTTCAGAAATATCACGGTTTTTACTTTGCTTTTTATCATTATAAGATTAATACCATGCCAAGACCATTAGGTCTTGACTGTGAATAAAATTCCCTTCGCTMATATTTTATTATTACAAAATGTATGCTTAATGTTATAATTATATTATATTATGCTTAATAATATCAGCAGTACCTATGTTACATTCTTTAATTTTTAAATAAGGAGCACTCTGTACTCACCCGTACGATTGGACCACCATTGTTCACCATTATAATGTACAATAGAAAACYCGGATACTCTTAAATTCTCTAATGATGGTTATACATTTTACGTATTACTAAAGCGAGTAAAAAAAACTACAAAAAATTAGAACATACTTATATTTAATTAACATACTGTACATTTTTATGTACTAGCTTTGGGTTAAATTTAAACAAATATGTGCTTGTTTAATTCAAATTGGTTGAAATATTTAAATTCTTTTTTTTTTAAATAAATAAAATTAAAGTGAGTTTAAACGTTTTACTCGTATTTGACATTAAATTTAAATAAAATTTAAAAACGACTTTGTAATATAACTAATTATTAAGTCCTGTTTTTAAAGCATTTGTTTTCCTTGTTATATTAACTTACTTATCATGACTTTTCGTAGAACTGAGTGCTTGTGAAWTAGTTCGTTGTATGWAATAGGCAATAGGTTAAATTTAATAAAAACATTTTGAAAATGTCACAATATAAATAAGGGTTGAGGTCTTTAAGTGTTAATAATTATAGGTTAAGATAAATATATGCATTTTGCATTACCTATATTATAATACCTACTATATTATGTAAACGTTATTCTTTACAACGTGTGTAAGTCTTTGCTTTTCTTACAAAAATATTTCGAGTTCTATAAATGATACACTATTTAATTAAGTGTTTAGAATACATATAAAATTAAAGTTAATTCATTATTCATTAGTATTAGGGCTGCCGGTTACAACTCACGACTCACATTTTCAAAAACGTTTAACTTCATCAAATTTCTAAAAAAGTTCATACAAAATATGTATAAATATATGGATTTTTTTCTTGTAATTATAGATAGTTAATATTTTTCTATTATTCATCTAAAAAACATTTTTAGTTATTTTAATTCATTGCATTCATAATTCATAATAAATAAAATTACTTGAAAACCTAAATTAATTTTTGTATGTTTCACGAAAATTGTTTTTAAAATTGTTATTTATAAATATTAATTTAATTTATTTTAAAATTGAAAATAAGTTTTATTTATTTATTACATAGGTACATTTCATATAGGTATACAAGTAATGGGAAAATTGAGAAAAATGTTCTCCCAATGGGGAAAATATGTGAACTTGAATCCAAATTTATTATGAATTATGAATTTTGAATTTATGACTATGCAATCAATTTTTACTGTTATTAGTTAAATATTTGCTGTTTGGTTATGAATTGTAAAAAGTCAAGTAGTAATGTACTTATTATGTTTATAATGTAAATTGGTTGATAATTATTATTAAATCCATGAGATAGGTAGAATAAAAATATACATTTAAWATTCATGAGTGACTCGTGAAATTTTTTTATAAGTGATTTCTASATATCTTAAAAATCCTTAAATTAATTATAACACTATTAATGAACATAACTTTGTATTTATAAATGTTTTTGAATGTAGGACTGATGTTACACAATTAAAGTAGGTACTTGAAGATTATTAATAGATTGTACAAACATCAAAGTTGGTTATAATTAGATGTCTACTAATTGTATAAGAGAATTAAACAATCAATTCAAGGAGTATCTATTGATATATACCGATGTTTCGTATTTTTATATTTCCAACTGCAATTTGATGTCTTGGTAGTAGCATAAATTTATACGTGATATTATGATAAATAAATATTTAATACGTTAATTTTATTATTTACAAATCTTCCTAATAATAAACTTCGAAAAAAAGATCTAAAAAAATCATACACATTCAAGTATTTTGAGTTATATATTACCGAAGTTATTTAAAAATTATTTCAAAAATCGGAAACCAATGTGACCTAACTTTTTTATTTTCAATAAGAAAAAATTGACAGAATCCAACTGTTTTATGATGCGTGATTGTTTTTCCTGTTGTTTTTGATCATTGAAATTTTATATTTTATTTTTTTTTGTACACTTTGTTTTGTATGACCACCACGCTATGTAAAACTAAAAATGTCCTGAATTTTAGTCCATTAATAAATAGTGGACTCTTTAACATATTATAATTATTGTCGTTGAACGGAAAAAAACTTACTGTATGTGAGATTGATAAATTGAGGATTTGGTACTCCTGGATTCGGAAAAAAACTAGTTTAATTAGGTATATTAAAAAAAAACTCCAATACCTATGTTATTTTTCGAGTTTCTTTTATGATTAATGAATTATGAAATACATAATCTCTCATGACGTATAAAGTATAATACGTAAGTTTGACTTAAAGCATTTTTGATATTATGATGTGTATATTTATTTTTATAAAAGCGGATCCGGTGAAGTCAAAGGCCATTGTGAATGACACAATTTAACTTATAAATATTTTTTTAAGTTTTTAGTTTACATTCGTTACAGACTACAGTAAGTGAATTACCAACTATATTACATTAGATTAAATATATGTCTTAAAATAAGTAAGTATTTATTGTGTTGTTGAAGAGATTTACTAAGTTTTTAATATCATATATAACATTTTGTGATAACAGATAACAATTTTAAGACCTGAAATCTCCTTTTAGACTTCTAAGTGAAAAATATCAAAAAGATAATAATTTATTATTAGGTAATATA